CAATCACAGCCATGTAAACAGGTCTTTGAAAGATCACATTCCTCCCGCTAGGCTCAAAGCGGAGTTTGGAAGCAGTGTTCGAGCAACCCCGGAAGTTTGAAAATATCGAGGTAACGAACTCTCCTCTCGTAAAAAAGGATCAGCAGAGAAAATAATACCGTTAGGTGTGTAGGGAAAATATGAAGTCAGGGGACAATAATGATGATCCAAAAACGGCTATTTGCGCAAGGTGAAAAGGGGTGAAAGCTTGACGTTGAAGACTAAGCTTGCAAATCGAAAGCTCCGAATTAGAAGTTAGCTGACGATTTAAACGTAAGGTGTACAGTCTCCTACGTTTACTGATCGGTTACTTTCCGACAGCCGAAGGACAAGAATGCACATGCACTATTGGAAAAAAAGTCCGCTCTAGATATGTTCGAAGTGAATCAGCGTAAAACACTGGCTCTTGGCAACATAAAAATGGGAGGGACAGACATAATGTAAATATACACTGGCCAGCATGCAGGATTAGGCAGTTTGCAGAAACCATAGCACAAGAAAACCAAGCACCCTACAGCGATGGAATGGTACGCAAGGTCTCATGTCGTCGAAAGTAAACCTAATGGCTTATCCAAGATAGTGAGACTTGGAAAATGTCAGTTCAGTCGGATAGCTGTGTCAAGGCACTAGACTTGTGTTTCAAAAAATTAATGCGACGCAAGTGGAATTCTTTTCCGACCACTGGAATTACGAACAATCCTAGTCGCCAGAATCAATTAAGATGGGACTAAAAAATATAAGACCCGGAGTGACGTTGATAAACAAAGCATGTAGTTCCTCAAGTGTTGCGAAGAGAGGCGAAAATAAGAGAAGAACCTCATTTACTCAAAAAACACGTAGTGCTAAAAGAGTGAATAAAAAACTGAACAATACAAGTCAGAAATGGCAACAAGAGTAGTCATCACCGTCATGGAAGAAAAAAATAATAGACGGACAGACTTAACTTCGTCTAGCTTCTAACGATTTAGTGATATCTTCAAAAATTTCATCCATTTTCTTCGTTCCATCAATTGGTATATGTAGCTTAAGATTCTGGTAGAAACTAACAAGAGGAGAAGTCATTTTATGGTAGGCTGTCAGCCTCTTCGCCAAAGCTTCCTTTGTATCATCTGAACGACGTACGAGCCTTTCACCAGTAACCTAAAATCACAAAGGACCACTATTAGTTTCTATTGGAAGAGGACGCTTTAAAATATCGCAAAGATGGAAACATGGAAAAAACAAAGAAGCGAAGAACTATAGCGACTGAAGTAAGTCAAAACTTACATCATCAGTCATCGGAACCTTTGGAGGATGGAAGAGTTCGTGGTATGAACGACCACTAGCCAAATGAAACAAACGTCCACAAATACGTTGTTCGAGGACTTCGTCAGGGACTCTCAGTTCGATGACACCTTTTAAGGATTCCTTGCGCTTCTTTAAAAGGCCTTCTAACTAAA